TTATTTGTTTTTCCTCAGTGTTAAGATAAAAATCCACCGGATTACTTTATGGAGCCAACTGTATACGTTTGTGTGTCAGTGAGAAGAAAGGGCACCCAATGGGGGTTCAGGAGACAGCATTAAAATCCCTGTCCTTCCCTGCCCTAGTTCATTACCACAGGCAGTGTGCTCATCATTTGAGCATTAAGCTCATCAGAGCTCTAAGCTTCTGTTTCCTCATCTGGAAGTGGGAGCCAAGGTGATCAACGATTTTTATCTCAGAGGGTGTCATGAGGACCAAGTGATAACCTGAGTATAACAGCACTAGCCCAGTGCCTGGCCCACAGTCAGGGCTCAGTAAATGACAGCTAAACAGCAATGTAGTGGGGTTCTGTATGCCATACATGAGATTGGGAGCCAGATTCGATGGTCAGTTTAGGTGAAGAAATTGGACATGTCTGTGTTCACATAGTATGATTCATGTCTACTTTGTTGTTGCTGCTGCTGCTTTCCTGTAACCAATTTTAGAGCCTATCTTGGCAGCTGGAAGTATTTGGGATTAATTTCACACTCACTTTATGAGTTGAGCGTTTTCCTGCAAGCAGCTCCCTGGGCCTCTGCCTCATTACTTTGGCATCAATTGATATGGCAGTTGGATAGAGATGTCCTTTGGGGTCTCCATTTTATTTGGAATCCTTCAATTTGAAAAAGCAAAACAAAGGCCATCAACACATTGTGCTTGAAATCGTTAGCATTTATTTTTTCCTAAACCTCTCCCTTTCTGTAGTTCTGTTGAACGCCAGGGAACACACATCTTGTACAGCCAGTGATGAGCACTGAAAAATCACTGTTCCTCAAATGTAAGCCCTAGCATCTGGTTGGCCTCATTTCTCAGTTCCAGGTGAGCTGCGAGATCCTCTAGGCCCTGGTCAGACAGATCTAAATCTTGATGGGTCTAGTTTTTCCATCCCTTTTTACTATGTTAATTCTGCTAAATTCATTTGGCTCTTGTGGAGAACAAAGTAAACTTGGCTATTACGTGTAAAACTAAATTGAGAACATGGAGATCTGTTTAGTATTTCACGCTGGCCAGTAGGTCAGGAAGATTTTCCTTGGGGGTAATTTACATAAGGAATTGTTTATCCCATTTCTTTCCAGTTTCTGTGACCATTTGGGGATAGCAGACTCTTTCCACAATGGCACAGAAATATATCCAGCGAGACTGAAACTTAGAGAAACGATGCTTCTCCAGGATTGATGTATTTTGGGTCTTGCTCAGGAAAGATCCTGTGGCTTGGGCTGCTGTCTCACTGAGAAGTCATTCTTCCACCACAGCTGTGTTTAGCAAGTTGGGTGGGTCCACGAACTGACATGCTGTTGCACTTAGTAAGAATTTTCCCTTGATAGTGAGGAACGTGCATAAAAGCCTCACTTAAGTCCCAGCAAATGCTCTAAATGTTTGCTGTGATCCGATGGCTACTTAGGGCACAGCCTCCATCAGATGACGCCCATACTCAGAATACTCTGTGGCTCTCCAGTACCTGCACACTCTTCACCTTGACATTTTGCTTCCTTTACAGCAGTTGCCCAGATGACCTTTTTTGTCTCATCAAATGCTCTTCCCAAACTGGAATATTTGCTCCTTCCTGAACAAGCAGCCTCTACCTTTGTGCTTTAATGCACTTGCTCAGGTTGTTTCCTTCACTTTTAAAGCCCCCTTACCCAATATCTATTCTTGAGGACAAATTTCAGGTACCTCTTCTCAGTGGCATGCTGGTAAATATTTACCAACTGGCTATTTGTGAGGAGCAGGGTGGGTGGGAAGCCTAACTTTATAACATTTGTTGATTTGCATGTTGTAAATACTTCCACCATGGCTGATTTCAAGCTTCTAGCATGAGGTCACTGAATGTGGAGTTGGGAAGAAATGGGCAGTAGCTCACCATTGCAGAGTGTTGCCAGCATACAGATGCAACAGGAATAAATAACCTCAAGGGCCTAGATAACAGTAAAATAATTAGGAAGTAATGTGTTTTGAGTATTTATTACTTTTGTTTTCATGTAACTTATTTTTAAGTTTACATAATTTAACTTTTAGCAATGGCCATGTTTAACAACTGGCTCACAAAATTCCTGAAAACTGAATAATCAGTCCTTTCTCCTGAGCTGGTAGGAGCTGGCTGAGCCTGGTCCAGTGGCCACTGCTGCTTCTTCCACCTTTTCCTTCCCAAGGCCCTCCACACTCACTAGGAGTTAGGCCCTTCTCCGAACCTGTAAGGTGCTTCAGGTCTCATGCAGACTTCAGAGTGAGAGACTCCAGGTCGAATCCTGCTTTCTTGTTCACTAGGTGATGGTCAAACTGGCTACTTAATTTGCAGTTCCCAGTGCAAAATGAAAATGCAGGGCCCTTGTTAAAAGGTAGAAGAAAGTGCTATTGAAACAGCACTTTCTTCTTGAAATAATATAAAGTTCTTTCCTTTCTTCAGTGGTCTCTCTTTCACACCTTCTGGTGGTGCTTTTATTTCCTATTTAATGTTATCTCAAGTAAGGAAAAATTAAAATTTTAAATCGTTAGCATGAATTCTATGATTCATCTTTATATTGTGCAATGCCAGTTTTAAATGCAAATGTAAGAGCATTTAACTCTCTGAGTTAATGAACATATCTCCTCTGATCATGTGCATGGTCCATTATCCTATAGACTTCACTTACAAAGCACAAATTCAAAAATAAAGTTATTAAGACTTTCAAGACAGAGACAGCAGGGCCTTAAACGAAGCATGGAGCACTCCTAAGCACAGACACAGTTGGCCCACCCTATGTACAGTACTGGGCACATTCCTTACATCTGCTGAGCCTCAGAGGCCTCATCTATAAAACAGAGATCTTGCCAACTAAGTCTCAGCGGAGGCATGAGGATTGAACGCACTGATACCTGTATGGCACAGAGCAGATTGCTTGGCATACAGGTCATGCTCAATTAATTGGAGGGCTTATTATTAACATAATGATCATAATGTTAGTGGTATTCTCCTCTTTAATCGTCTATAGGGTCTTCCCTATATTGTCAGTGTTTGCCTCCTTGACCTATTTTCCTTTCTCCATTATGAAGGCTTTGAAGATGGAGGTTATCTCTGTTGCCATTGAATTCCCTGTAGTGCTTCCTGCAAATTCTTGCACATCCCTGGCACTCAGGAGGTGTTTATCACCTTGATCTTTGTATGATTTGGACTTACTGACAATAAGCATCTGTGTCATAATATGATGGCCCCCACGGTGAGGCTTAATTGATAACATTCACAGGAAGAAGATGAAATTAAACTTAGATTTTTAACAGGAGTCAGTTGTAATCATGGTGAGGGCTGGGGAAGCAGATGATTCCAGGTGTTTTGGTTTAAGGAAAGTGACTTCTCCATCTCCTCGAGGGGAATTCTTGAAGTAATGGGGAAGGGATGAGTTCCAAGCCTCATTTGAGTAAAAAAGGCCCCAGGGATATTAACTCTGGCCCATAGTAATCTGCCCCTTAGCTAGCTTCTTTCACACTTACTTTCTGTGCTGCACAATAAGGACATTATTACAGTTAATGCTTCTTTCCACTAATTGGTTGTGTATGTATGTTTCCTGTCCAACAAATTATAAGATCCTCATGGGCTACAGGGTATCACGTACCTTTGAATGCAAATGAAAAGTAGCACAGTAGTAGGCCCTCAGTAAGCAGTGTGCTTTGTTAATGCTTACCTTGGTCCCAACGCCCAGGGCTCCCTCTAGAGCTGAATGTGAATTGTGATTGCCTTTCATAACTCCTGCAAGTGGCAAGTTTGCCCGGGATTGTCAGGCAAGGGCCTTCAGGTGCTTTGTCTTTCTCTAACCTACATCTCTTTTCCAGTGTCTCCCAGATACTCTGAGGACTGGCCCCTTATAGCCCTTCTCCTACATGGAATTTGGGAGACCACACAGCTGCAGACTATACTTGTTTGACTGATGATTTTTTAGTAGGCCCTTTGGGCCAGTGTCAGTAAGCCGTGAAATATCACCAAATGGATCATCTGCACTAGACTTCTGAAACTCATCTGAGCTCTAGTCCCTTAAGCTGGTGGGGACTTGTAGAAAGGAGCTTACATTGCCCCGGCTTTTGCTATTCCAGTTCTGGGGGCTGTCATGTGCCTTGAGCCTCTGGGCTAATCAGTTCATTACTTTTAATGAGCACAAAATTCACCAAGACGTTAAAATAAAATAAAACACCAGTGGGCTGTCTTCAGTGTTCTATCCAATTGTTACTTTAGTTCTTTTTTCCACAGGATTATTCAAGAGGATGAAAAAAAAAAAAGCCAATTCTACTCACTCCTGCCAATTTTATCCTAAGTAGATTTGGCATTGTAAAGCTAACGCACCCTGAACATTTTTTTCTTTCAGGTCCCTGTGGGCTGGTGCCTGACATTTGTGTTAAAAATGACATTGCTTGATTGGTCAAATGTTTGAACATTATCTGCCTTTTAAATATAGTAAAGAAATATTGGATATTCCAATACCATGTAAAAAGTGATAGAGGAAGACAGTTATTTTCTGAAAAGTGTATTATGAAGTTATTATTTGAAATTCCAAGGTAAATGCAGTTACTTTGATAAGAATTTTTTTAATTGATCAAGAATTTTTTAAATTGATCAGTCTCTGTGACTAGTAATAATGACCGTAATAACTGTATTAGAGGTCACTTATATTATCATATATTGTAGAAGGTGAATCGATGGTGAAGCAGACACTGAACAATGTCCCCATTAAGCTGATTTCGTGGATATTTTCATCTCTTGGCCATATGGATTTGGAATTACTTAGGGTATTTTTTTAAAAGAAGGAAGCGAACAGATGAATGATAACTCTTTTATTACTCAATATAGCTTGTGTTTGTGGAAGACAAAGTTCATGAAGTTGTTTTAAAGAAAAACAAGAGTGTGCCAAATGTAATTTGTTGAGGGCTCAAGAATTGTGAAATTATCCCTAACTGAAGTTTGTAATTTCTGCAGGTAATCTCTCTAGCAGATGCAGTAGAGGAAAACCAAGACAATCTGTTCCAGTCATTCACCAGGCTGAAAAGTGCCACCCATTTGGTGATTCTGCTGATCGGGCTGTGGCAGAAGCTGAGCGCTGACCAGATTGCTATCCTGGAAGCGGCATTTCTGCCACTGCAGCAGGACACTCAAGAATTGGTAAGGACCCACAAGCCTGCAGTGGTAACAGCCAGCGTTATTGAAAAAGGTGGTGGTTTTAGGAAAATATCACATGGCTATCATGTTTTCTAAGGTATCAAATGAAAGCTTGGTTTTGTTTTGTTTTTTTACCCAAATCCTGTTTTCCTTTTCTTCAAACCATAATAAAAATGTCAAGTAAAGGCCTTTTTTTTTTTCTAGAGCTATTTAAAAAATAGGTATATAGTCCATTTTTATGTGGTATCCAGTCTATTTTTTATATACTCTTCAATCACTTAGAAGCCAGGGAAACAGTCATTTGACCACCAGGGTGATGGCAGTAAACCTTCAGATTATCTAATCCTTTCCTTTTCCAGGAGAGAAAACAATTCAGCCATTTTAATTTGCTCAACGTTCTTAAATTTAAGTGTCACTTCAAGGGTTAGAGAGAACTGAGGTAGCCTCGCTAAATGACAGGGATATTTTGTTACATTTATGTAATTCTTTTTATGTAGTTTATAAACTCTTTTACTCTTGATCCTTTGAATAGGCAGTTTAGAACAAAAAGGGAAAAAATGGGGGCATGCATTTGGAGTTTTTGGTGAAGGATGATATAAATAAACATCTTAGATGCTTTGAATCATTGAGGTATGTGACTACCAGGTGCCGTTAATGCATGCTTTTATTTACAAAGAACTAATATACTTCTTTGAAATCAGAGACGCTTGAACTTATTTTTTTGTATTGGAGGAAACCGTTTCAACAAAAAAGTCATTTCAGATCCATTTTTAAACACAGATGTGAAAGCATGGTACTAAAGATAATAGTACTAAAACTGAAATTTTTGGGTGTTAACTAGGTACCATGTTTTCTTTTAAGTGTTTCACAAGGATTATCTCATTTAATCTTAAACAAGGACCTATAATATAGTTAAGGTATTGTTTTCATCCCTGTTTTACATATGGGAAAATTTAGGCTTTGAGAGTTAAGTACCTTTCTGAAATTAATGGGTGGTAGAGCCAGAATTTGGACCAAAGTCTGTCTGCTTCCAAAGACATGTTTTTAACCTGTATATGGTATTTTAGCAACAAAGTCATGAACACAATTTTGAAAATCACAAGCTTTGTCAGTTGAATCTAATTTTCTACAGTTGGTTCAAAGTGTTGTCAGAATAAAAAAAAAATCAAGCTATATTTTATATCCTTAACAAAACAGTAAAAATAAATCAGAAAAATTTTAGAGTACACATTATTTTTAGATTGATAAAATTACAGCTAAAATCGACCTTTGAGAAGCTAGAAATGTACACTGTAATAGTAGAAATTAAAGAATAGAATGGTTAAGATTATATTTTTTTTTTGAATTTTATTTTATTTATATTTTTATACAGCAGGTTCTTATTAGTCATCAGTTTTATACACATCAGTGTATACATGTCAATCCCAATCTCCCAATTCATCACACCACCACCTTCACCCCCCACCGCTTTCCCCCCTTGGTGTCCATACGTTTGTTCTCTACATCTGTGTCTCAGCTTCTGCCCTGCAAACCGGTTCATCTGTACCATTTTTCTAGCTTCCACGTATATACATTAATATACGATATTTGTTTTTTTCTTTCTGACTTACTTCACTCTGTATGACAGTCTCTAGATCCATACACGTCTCTACAGATGACCCAATTTCGTTCCTTTTTATGGCTGAGTAATATTCCATTGTATATATGTATCACATCTTCTTTATCCATTCGTCTGTTGATGGACACTTAGGTTGCTTCCATGACCTGGCTATTGTAAATAGTGCTGCAATGAACATTGGGGTGCATGTGTCTTTTTGAATTATGGTTTTCTCAGGGTATATGTCCAGTAGTGGGATTGCTGGATCATATGGTAATTCTATTTTTAGTTTTTTAAAGAACCTCCATACTGTTCTCCATGGTGGCTGCATCAATTTACATTCCCATCAACAGTGCAAGAGGGTTCCCTTTTCTCCACAGCCTCTCCAGCATTTGTTGTTTGTAGATTTTCTGATGATGCCCATTCTAACTGGTGTGAGGTGATACCTCACTGTAGTTTTGGTTTGCATTTCTCTAATAATTAGTGACGTTGAGCAGCTTTTCATGTGCTTCTTGGCTATCTGTATAAGATTATATTATAAGAATATTAACTATCACTGTCACTATGAACTCAGATTTAGTAGTCAAAAAGACTTGGGTGGCTTGAGGTGCTGGTTCCAGCAAAGTCCTTCTGGTCAAGTTTCTTAGCTGATCTAAATCTCTGCTTCTGTAGCTCTAAAATGGAAACAATTATGTTAGCTGTCCAATAAATTGTAATAAGAATTAAATGAGATAATTGGATAGAGTGCTAATCATCATTAGTAGTGGTTTGTCTACTTTACGTGTATTATTTATAGTCCTCACTAAAGCCATGCAAGGTAGGTATTACTACCTTTTCATGGTGATATGTCTCCTCCACTACACTTGAGGGCAGGAATTATATCTTACTCATTTTTATATTCTCAGTGCCTGGCACAATGCCTGACCGTAGTGCAGTTGACATTTGTTGGGGTGAATGAATAGAGATAAGGGTAGAAGCTAACAAGAGGTGACTTGGCAGAACAGATGCAGTGGATCGAGTCTGGAGCATGAGGAAGCAGGGCAGGGCCAGCTGTATAATTTACGAGGTTGAGTGCAAAATGAAAATGCAGATACCTTGTTCAAAAAAGTAGGAAAACATGCTAAAGTGCTGTTAAAACAGGTACTAAACACATAGCTTTTTAGTTTCTGTAGTCACTCTCTCATCGTGGTATTTTTGTTTGCTATTTATGTAGTTCTAAATAAAGAAAAATTTAAAGAATTGCCACAATTATACAATATATACGATACATATACAGTATATGCAACTTGTATTTTGTAGCTCATATGCATTTTGTTCTTATGGAACTGCAGAATTGCTGAACAAAACTTAACTGTCTTTATTTTACTTCTTAATCAGTGCACATCTACCAACACTCTCTACCTTCAGCTTCCTGCTAAGTAAGGAAGGACTGAAGGGAAAGGAGCTCAGTGTCACTCCATTTCCCTTTCTTTCTATGTTATCATTTTCAGTGTAAGTGGTTGGTTAATACAGGGAAGTAACAGGAGTGTAGTGGGTTTCCTTAGTCATTCCTGTTTCTTTGAATCTATTGCCTTCTTTCTTAATTCAAAACAAGTTCTGGTTCAAATGAAAAGCCTCTCAGGGCTGTCAGTTCCTTCGCTTAATCAGTCTAGACAGAAAAGGCCTTCCTCCTGCTTACTTTGAGTCTCTGTGAACTCCCACTCATCCTGGGGCCACGGGAATTCTGAGCTATGGGGCTGTATGGGAATGGGGGGAAAAGAGGGAGGAGGCACACATATTGCACGTATTTTCCCTTCTCACACGCGCTTCATTGTCTTATCAGACTTCACTTACAAAACACAAATTCAAAGATTAAATTATTAAGAATTTCAAGATGATGACAACAAAGCATTAAACTGAGCACAGGGCCCTGTGCAGTTACACAGCTTGCATGCTTCGGAAGCTGGCCCTGAAGCCTGCTTAGACCCAAAGGAAGAATTTCCTAGAAATAAACATTCTCAAATGTAGGAATTGAGTCCCAAGAGAGACTGTGGTATTTCTGACTCCAGAGATCTTTAAAAACAGCTTCATTTGCCAGGAGTATGTAAGTATGCTCATCCCTGTAGGCAGGTGAATGGACTGAGCATCTTCTCAAAGCTCCTTTCTACCCTGCCTCTGTATTCCCTACTGTCATACCTCCCAAATCATGTAAGAAAAAATTACTTCAACTCTCTTCTGAATTTGATGAGATTAGAAGGTGTGTATACTTGTTATGTCTATCGAAGTCATTAATGAGACAGGACATTTGATAAAAACATAACTTGGAGAAGAATGAATCAAAAAAGACATTTTAATACTGCTTGTTATGCTCTTCATCTTTAATTAGGTTGTGGTATTCACTTTGGACTTACACTATTGAGACAGCTTATATATCTTGAGAAAAAAAGGAATCCTTTTTCATTCTTTAAGACGTACGCATGCAGTATGTGGTTTTGACATGCTGGTTCACAATCCTCCACATTATGCCTATAGACCTCACAAATAAATGTTATGTGATGGGTATCCCGCTGAGACGTGAAAATGAAATATGCAAACCTGAAATAACTTGGAAGGAGGGTGAGGCGGGGAAGAAAGGAGTCTCTGACCAGAATGTTGAAATATATCCCATATTGAAGTTATTATGATACCACAAAAATCTGAATGTAATTTAGACGGTTTGGTTGAGGGTGGATGGCAGAATACATTGTGAGAGGGAGAACTTTAGACATGTGGGCAACATTTTCAGAAGAGACTCTCAGTTCAAGGTCAGATGTCCCCACAGTATTGAGAGGTAAGAGAAAGTGCTCAGAAGATGTTTTATTTACGGTTCAAACAGCACCGCATAATGGTTTGTTGTATTGTTATTTAGATGGCATGTGTCACAAGACAGGCTAAATACCATAGTCAACTCTGGAATATTTTCTTCTTAATAGCCTCGGTTTCACAAAGCAAAAATGTTTAGAGTTCATTATTGCTAATGAAAGGTAGTGTTCTTCACACTATATTATCAGTATTAAAAAAAATACCATCCCATTTGGAACAGAATTCATCAGTGTTTTCTTTGATCTGTCTCTTTAGTAACACTTTTCCATTTTTGCCACTTCTCAGTACTTTTGGAGGGCAAATAAATGCTGGTGTTGCTGACTATTATATGTGATTTTTTAAGTTGCTGAAAGTTATGTATACCAAATGTGTTTTTGTAGGGATACTCCCTATCACTTTAAGAAAAATGTTAAATGTTTTATTTGGCGTCTCCAAAAAGAGGTCATAAACATAGTTCTACCGGTGGATTTGATAATATAGTATTATCCCTATTGTCTTCCTGTGATGCTGGAGAAGTTTTACCTAAAGTAATGTTCTATCAGAGTACCTGTTAGGGAAACTCTAA